CTGGTGTTCCAACCATGCCATTCCCAGGATGTGGTCATACCTTGCATTCAAGTCTAAGACTGGACAGCGTTCCACGCTATCAAAGTCAAGAAACTTGACTTCGAGGTCCACAGGGACCTCGGGACCGTGACACGTGTCCCCGTTGCTAAGCGAACAGTGACGATGTCACACAAACGCTTCTCAGCGCCTCAGCATACAGCTGACTTCCTTCCATCGATGGAACGTCGAGCATAATTGCCCGATGCCCCGGAATCGATGAGGATCTTCCATGGCTTCTCGAAGCTCTTTACGATCGCTTCCACGACCAGCAAGCCCGGCTTGCATTCACGTTCCGTGTTCAAGAGCACGGAGCTCTTCGGAGCTTGGCCTTGTTGACCTATGCCTCCCTGTGGCTCAACAGAACCCAATTCTCCCCCAGTAGGTCGCCCCGCGCGTACGGAGTGGTGTCGTTTCCCCGCGACGAACCAGACTGGTAGGCGTTTGGGCGATGGTTCGAAGAACTTTGACGCGCCTTGCGCAGGGGGCGACCGTTCCGAAGGTTTGTCTCCTCAGACAAAAACACTGTCGAATGTATGTATGCTGCCCGGCAGCTCGGAGCTCCGCTCCCTCGTCCTCAGCATAGCTGAGATCCATGGGCATAGACCCGCTCGACGAGCTGTTGGAGTGTGCATTCCAGCCAAGTCGCGCCGACTTAAAATTGAGTACGGCATTAAATGCCACATTCACCGCCTTTACAAACGAAGACGGATGCACACGAAAGACTTCCATTCCGGCCACGCGCCAGTGCGGAGGCCTTCCATAAAGACAGTCACTGTGAACGCCTCCGGAAGGGGGTCTGCTGCCATCCCGGCGATGAGAGTGCCCATCTCTTGGGCAAAGTCCACATATTCCTTGTTGCCCTGTCGTGCGGCAAGGAAGCGATCGTACGCGATATGCCTGATTAGGCGGCGAGAAACTCCTGAGAGCTGCAATTTCAGCTCCACCCAAGAGGGAAACGCAGCTTCAACCGAAGTAAGTTTAGTGCCCAATCTCGCGCTCGACCACCTAGCTTTGAGATGGCTAGCGCTACGCGCTATTGCTCGGTCTGGAACATGGCGGATGCAATGGCCATCTCTTCCTCTCTCTCACCCAGAACAGGAGATTCTCTCCAGCCCTCCCCTCAAAGACCTTAACGTTAACTATGAGCGGACTAGGGCGGGGAAAATTATCCGTCACCGACGGTGGCATCATAGACGGAAATGATGCAGACATGTTCTGCTGCAAGTGCGCTAGCAGCGCGTTTTCGTAACTTGAAAACGCCTCTAGACGCGCACCGACTGCCTCGGGAGCCATCGCTACAAATTGTCGCACGCCCTCAGGGCCAAGCAAGAACATCAGCTTGTTGAGACCGTCCTACATGCCCAGGGGCAAAAAGGAGAATTCCTCCATCCTCACAGAGGATCAATCTAAACGACTCAGATGTAGATTGTCTACAAGTGCAGCGGAGCTGCCGTGGCTTAGCGCTTGAGGAAGCGTAATTTAGGTCACCTCCTTATGTTCTATACTTAAAACAAGTTCGAGTTAGCGGATCACAATCCGCTTACTCCAAGAGTTATTACCCAAGGCTAATCAGCTCTTCCGTTTAAAAACCAAAACTGATTTTTATTTATTTTTATCTGCGGCAAACCTGCCTTTTTTAATGTTTAGATTTTCCTAAATATACTAAATCATATAGTAAAATCTAAATAAATGCATAGCTACTGGCTACCTAGCCCCGTACCTTATTCTTGTTTGGGTGTTGTCACACCATGCACATCTCGTGTGACACACACACCTGTTACCAGGTACGTGTAACCCCGTTACACCAATCCCTTCGGTGCTTATGAAAACTCATAATTGCTCAAAAGTGCAATAGCATTTAGCAAATCACTAATGATTTTTGCTGGCTCAATTATCCATATCCTATTTTTTTATTTCTATGGTACGTTTTTGTTGCATTTATTTGTTATCTGGTAGATTTTGTATTACAACGAGCGTCTATAATTTATATTAGCCCTTATGTGCCTGCAAAAATGCACACCAGCCACACCATCAAGCTATTATACAAACTATAGCACAAAGAGATACATATATGTATGGCTGCTGTAAGCAGCCCTCGGGTGTTGATAATACTTCCATATACCTACCTACCTACCATAAAAGCAACACGGCAAAATGTAAACAGGGCTACCCTTTTCCATTTCGTAACTCATTCACCCTCCACCGAATATATGACCAACAATAATCAGTAGCCGCCATGTGCTACAGAGCCTCAATAGTCAGCTGCTTTGCGCTGGAAAAGAGCTCGAGCACGAAGTCTCCGCAATTTCACGCCCATGCTTGATACAAAACCCGTTCTTTTGCACCCACTTCGCGCAACCCTCGATTTTGCACTTGACCCCTCCACCATGACCACGGCACAGGCCCTTAGACTGGCTGCTTTTGGGACAGTCAGGATGCTTGCAGCGAGCTCCGCCGCCGTGAGCCTTACACAAGCCACGCGACTGTGCCGTCTTTTCACAGTCTTCAAATGAGCAGGGTGTGCCGCCGCCGTGAGCTATACACTTGCGATTTGCCTGTGCGCTCTTGTTGCAGTTTGGATGGGAGCACCGCTTCCCTCCACCGTGGGTCCGGCATCGTCCACGTGAGCGAGCAATATTGCTGCAGTTGGCATATCTGCATATACGGCCGCTGCGAGCATTACTATCTTGGGCTTCCTGAGCCGCAAAATTTGCCGCTGCCGTCATTGCATCACTACTCCCTTCGCTGCGACCCACGCTCGAGCTAAGAAGCCGCATACCACTGTCCTCATCCTCAGACGGCACAGACATACCATCGGCACCATCAAAGGATATTCGGGACCGTCTTCTATCTTGTAAATAGGATACACCTGGGAGCGATTGAGAGTGGGAGGATAGTGGAGATGTTGAGGTAGAGGACAATAACGAGGAATTTGACAGCGAGCGGAGCGGAGCCTTGGAATGGTATTGGTTATAAAGTCTGGTTTGATGAAGAGGTGAAGGTGATGGAGACGGCGACTGGGAAGATGTTGAGAGTGTCGATACGTCCGAAAATGAGCGGAGAGAGAGTGGTGGGGGGCGCGTAGCGATACCTAATGGCTTCAGGTGTGTGCCCGGTGAACTCCGCATCACATTAAGCGATGGTAACCGAGGACTCTTCTCAAATTTGGCACTTAAAAATGGATTGTACGCCTTGCTTATTGGTGCGGCAGGTGCTGATAGTGCCATACTAGCAAACGGCGAGACAGGCGGTGCCAGGGGTGGTGTAGCATGCAAGTTTGACGAGCTGGAATCACCATATGTGAAAGCGTGCGACGTGGAAGGTACGCGGACGCGGCTAGTTTCGTGACGAGGAAGCGGCGAAATAAAACACATTTCCTCTTTTTGAACTTGCAGCTGCTGCTCGAGTTGACGCTGCTCTTCAAGCTCGGCGGCTGAGGGACCGTCGTCGCCTACTTGAGGCCGGAGGAAAGCCGGGAACGCGCCCAATTTATACTTAAAGGGGTCCGTGAGCTCGCGCACGCGATTGTTAGAGTCTACCAGCTTAAATGAGGGGGCAGCGTCGGGCGCCGATCCGATCCGAAGCTGGTCGTGGGGCTGCATCCAATCCATGTCTTTCACGTCTGTCCGTAGAAAAATTCGACACTTATGATAGGATCAGCTCGAAGTCGTGCGAAAAGAAGAGTGACGGGGTGCAGATAAAGTGGTAGAGTGGTGTGATGAACCCGAAGTTGTGGGGGCCACAAATGCACCGGAAGGGATAGGTAAGAAATAAGCGATGTATGAATTCCAATTATTCTTTTATGATAAATAATTGGACCTTTATATTGAAATAGCAAAATAGAAATCAAGTAATCAATTAGGTGAGCAGATCACCGCAGCAACTATACTAGGTGTCGGTTTCTGGGTGTGTTTTGAAAAACTGTTAAATAAATGGTATTCGCTAACGAAGCGAGAATTATATATTTTGCTACTTTTTCGAGTTCTTACTTTTGCCGACTCAAAAAGTGAGCAACATAAGTGCATACAATTTGTCGCGCCTCGGATAAATCCTCTCATTCAGTATTTACGGAGCTTTCATTAATCTTGAAAGTCCTAAAAAGCTTGACCTGGAGACAAGATCATTCTGAAATCTAAAAACATTCGATGTTTTCCGAGTGCAAATTTGAGTACCTGCTATAGATGGTATCGATAGTCCAACCACTAATTGATTTTATTGTAATTTATAAAAAGTTGACGGGCCTGTAAGCAAGCTGAAATAACATCACATAATATGTGCTACTATATATAAGTCAAGGTGCTTGATATATTTTTGCTTTTATCAATATGTGTCCGGGATAAGAAAAATTATCAAGACATTTAAAGCATTAAGTCGTCCGTAGCACTTAAAAGATAGTCGCCGATAATCCTTATCAGGCGTGCGGCTCATTTGTTCTCTTAAATAAAGAATGACTTTTATGTCTTGCCGAATTACTTACGTGCTTGGAATGAGTGAGGGCAACATGGCTGTCCTGATACCAAATTTTGCCAATCCTTTGGGCGCTCACTTGTAATTATTAGATTGCGGATAGGGGTATGATAGTCCTAATGATAATACTACGAAAACTGTACTTTGGTGTGGCTTTGGCCACAAACACTATAAGTTGGAACAGTGAATCGTTGCATAGGGGCAGTGGGTAGGAGCAGCGTTTGCGCAATTAGATCATGCGCACTACTATCGTAAATAAAATGTTAGCTATTCAGCTCATTTTGGTCCATGTACATATGCGACGCTGAATCTTAATTGTACAAATTGTGTATATAAAAGAGACTGCCGCATTTTTTTGTTATAATGACACAACATTGTTAGATACGAATTTCTCACTTGTGATTCTGAATATCCACATAGTTGTTTTGAATGCCGCCTTCAAAATTTCCTAAGAGATTTGCGCAGAAGTGGCACTTGCCGAGATCGTCCCCAGTGTTATGTTGCAGCAAAAAGTGCAAAAGGTAGCGAAGACCCCGTATGCGCATGATTCATGACATATTTTCAAAGTTGTAGTCTCGCCTTATAGGAAGTCGTTTGTGTATACAATAATCCCGGCAAAGTCTGTATAACTTATCTCACTATACTTAACACATGGCTCGTCTCTTTGCAAGATTAGTGACTATCTTCGAACCATGTATTAGTATAAACTGGACCATTCTGTTGCTGTGATAGGATAGTAACGCTACCCTAATGAAATAATTGAGACGTGCGTGTCGGCAGAAAAGACAGGAATTGCCGCCTCGCAGGCCAAGGAACACGTCACTTTTTGATCAGACTAAAATGTATAAATTAATGGTTTCGAGCGGGTCTATTGCGCCGAATGTGCTTGAGAAGAGCAAACAATCACTTAAAATTAAAAATGCCTAATAGTAGAGTATCAGTCTAGCTGGACAGCATATCTGGCGGCATATAGCCGAATAATTGTTGCTGAGACCATGCACAATGCTTGGAACGACATCAGTGCATCCTACATCGTAAGAAGCGATAAATTCAGTATAACATTTATAAATTGGTCTTTTGTAAAAAACGGAGACCCTATATGCTTATGCAGAAATGAAAGTTGTTGTGGCGAGAACGTAAGATGAAAGTTAATACAGCAATCTTTGCAATCATCATATGCCAGAACTCATTTATATAAACGAGAATTAGTTGGACAATGTGATTTATACGAGTCGCGTTAAATTCTGGCACAACTCCATCATGTCTTGACCGATAATTTTGATTGCACGTTATTCTACTACCTGTCGTTCCTGGAAATTTTACTCTAAAGAGGTTTGATTACAGCTATCTATTACACCTGCTATTTCTATCAAGATAATGTATTGGGCAAAGCTATCACGAACTGTATACTAACGGATTTTTACGAATAGTGGTCGGTCACTTTTGACAGGAGGTCTACAATTCGTAGAGGGCTACTATATCTCGACGACATCAACATCATCCAAGGTTTGGTCAAGTTCGTCTACATTGAAAGGATCATCCTCTCTTTCACTGTCGGCATTGCTCCACCTTCGCTGAAATTTCCACCCGTAAGCATCATGGTTTCAAATGGACCACTGTGACGGGCTTTTGTGAAATCCTGCAGCTTCAATGGAGTTCAAGACCACTGA